AAAGTCTCATACTGATCTACACAATGCCCATACAATTCCTTACAGATATTTCTCAAAATCCATCACTAAGCTATCTAGAAAAGGTAGAAATCTACATCCTTTACTCCTATCTACGACCTCTAGATGTTCTTGGTAATTCCAAGAGTTTGAAATGCTAAAAGATTCGAAGCGTTTCTGGCACCTAGGCGTCAACCTTCTAGAAACCTCAATTAACTACCCGACGCCTAGGCCCCAGATCCTGACGCCTATGCATCAGGTCAATTTTTGTTCCTTAGCTCCATTTGACCTTATTTTGCTATATTTTTTGCTCATTTTGCTCTTAAACTCCATTTCTTGTACCTGGAAATAAAATAAAAAAAAAACGCACAAAATACCTTTCATTAAAGCACAATATCCTTAAATTAAAAAAAAACGCACAAAATACCTTTCATTAAAGCACAATATTCTTAAAAATGAGCTTAAAATGTACATATAAAAGTAGATAATTTTAAGGCACGTCAATTCCCCTAAAATTAAACGTTAATTGTCCTCATATAACTCATGAGTATTGTAACAAAAATTATTTTAACTTATGTTTGTGTGCTTCAGTAAAGCTTATTATATTCCTGCCCCATAAATGTAATAGTGAAACTTTAGAAAAATTTTTAATAACTCAAGATAAAACTAAGGTGTAAGAATATCTAGTACTTGAGTTAAGAATTCTGATTTGCTATTCATTTCAGAAATAATTGTAAGTTGTTATACTTAGGAATCTTAAAAGAATTATATGTGAACTCCTACTAGTAAAGATTTAACTAATACATTAAAATTAAGAATAAGCTCAGAAGTGTAAGTAAGTTTCTTCCTTTAAGCTAATTCAAGTGAAACTAATTTTTAAGTAAGTATCTCCTCAAGCTTATCCTCACATATTTTTCTTTTTTAAAAATTTTTCTTTTTCTTTTAGGAACTTTTTAAATCATTCCTTTTCTTTTCTTTTAATGTGAGGATTACTATATATGGATAGCCTTTAATGATTTGAATTTCACTATCCTCTTCCTAAAATTAAAAACTTCTCATATTTCTTTACTTGATAATGTGTATTTGTATAAAATGATTTTTCATAGAGTCTCAAATTTCTTTTTAAAGAGTAAATCTAAGATTCTTAGTGTTTAAATAATACATTTTTTCCTACTCTAGATAGTAAAAGTATATTCCAGAATTTTCATACTAAATAACTTAACTCTGGAATTACCCTTTATTACTAAGAATTTTTACTTAAGTTTACTATAACATTTATAGAATTAAAATTATGGTTTTCCAAGAATAACACCACATACCACATGTTAAATTAAAAATAATTTTTAAATATAGTTTATTGAGAACAAATAAAGTTTAATTTTAAAAAGTATTTTTCCTCCCCCAAACTTGAATTTTTAAATAGTTTAAAATATGATAATACAAAACAAGTCTGAAGAGAGAAAAATTTTCAGATTAATTATCTATTAACAGAGTTCTAAACATGAAAATCATACAGGTACAAAAAAGTAAAAACAGATTTGTTGCAGTAAATAAGTCTAAATTAAGCAGGTTTAGTATGAAAAGTAGAAAGTAAAGAACAACTATCACACACAAACAATATATATATATATATATACTATCCCTTATCATTAAACCTTTGTACTTAAGTTTACAATAATATTTATAGAATCAAAAATATAGTTTTACAAAAAATAATACCACATACCACATTTTATATTAAAATAATTTTTAAATATAGTTTATTGTAGGACAAATAAAGTTTAATTTTTAATAGTTTTTCTACCTCACCCGAACTTGAATTTTTAAATAGTTTAAAATATTACTGTACAAAACAAGTATGAAGAGAAACATTTAATAGATTAATTATCTATCATTAGGCTCTAAGCATGAAAATAATACATGTAATGTAGTAAAAGCAAGTTTGTGTAGTAGTAAGTAAATCTAAATTAAACAGGTTTAGCATAAAACGTACAAAGTAAAAAAACTACTCTCACACACAAGCAGTATATATATATATATATATGAAGTGGAGTAAAGGGAACTCAGTAGTGCCATGAAAACTAAAAAGTCCAAAAGACACAACAACTATACACAACTATCACAATGTCCAATACAATTAAAATAACTAAAGAGCATCAATAACAAGGGTAAAGTAAGTACAAGCATAAAAATCACTACTCCTTCTAATCATCATCATCATCATCCTAGTCATAATCCTCATCCATAGACTTTTGGTGCTCAAATGGAGGATAATGAAGATACTCGGGAAACTCAACACTAAGATCACCTCTTAAAAAACACACTAAGGAAGTGTTGAAGCTAGCTTTATAATCACTCTTTCTTCTTATATATTGCTCCAAGTGATCTTCATTCTCTTGAAACTGACACTGTACAAATAGTATATCACTTGGCTGTATCTGCAACTGCTCCATCACAGTGTCCAAAATGAAAGGTGTATGAGTAGATGTACCAGAGATAGAAGGTCTTGAAGTTGAAGTAGATGAAATATCAGAAGCTCTACCTTGAGATCTTCCATATAAGACCACGTTAGCCCTTCCTCTAGCAATTAATTGTTGCAGTAACTCTTCCCATGTGTCATATTTAACCCCAAAATATTTACAGATAGTAAAGATAAGGGAAGGATAGCCCGGACCTGCAGAAGTACTAGCTCTGGAGGAAGTGTAATAGCCTTGTATATGAGAGAACCAACGTCCATGGGTTTCATCTTCTGAATGAAACTGTTCAAAATGGCTCTCTCCCGAGTCATTTCACTCAAATGGTTTGTAGGAAGAATTCGAGCAAAGATAAAGAAATGCCAAGCTTTAGTGGGGCATTAAGCATAAAAGAGGAAAAATTTACCTCATGCTTGTTCATAGGCCACGTTCGCCAATGAGCCGTTACTCATTTTGAACTGAGAGAGACTCATTCTCTATCTTGTCGTTTAGAGAGATCTCTGAAGACATCATGACGCTCCTATGAGATAATCATTCTTTGTGACAACCTCACTAGTTATCACTTAAATTTAAGCAGGACTTCTCTAATTGAGAGTATTCTTGGGCAATCCCTAAGATGTAATTAACCAAGAGAATACGTTCCTTTTGGGAGTTGGTCTTGACCCCAGAACAAAACTTTCTTTTGGTTCTCTATTTACGTGGGTAGCTTTTGTAGATATTCTTTTGTGGATATTTAGTTCAAGGTGTCTCATTTCAATCTTGTTCATAAGCATGCCCTTGACCTATCACACGAGATTTACTTCACATAACCTCTCCGGGTTCTTTTCTTCAATTTGTCTACCTAGTCTCCGCTTAATTCCTTCTTTTCTGATCCCTTCTCCACTCTGAATCGTTCATACGAATCAAGAGAGCCATTCAGAAAATTGAATCCTAAGGTCAAGGCTAGACATACTGGCGACTTCAAGTTACAAAACGAACCGAAAATAGTTGTTTAACTTTTTGACTCCCCACTTCAATAGTCATTGGATATTTTCCAACAATTGACATTTGTTAGCCATCGACATATTGCACTCAACATATATGCCCAATATCCTCTCTTGCTAGAAAAACAATCAAATTAATTATCCACCATTCCTCAACTTATGATGTTCCTTCTCAAAGCATTACTTGAATCTTGTTATTGACTAAAATTTGCTGGCCACCAAAGCCCCAATACTAATCTTATTAATTGCTCAATCTCCCCATCTATTGGGAGAACAAAAAAGCTATTTGTCCAACATTACTAGCCTTCTGAGGTTCACCATCAATTTTCTCTCAATACTCACCACTTCGATAAAAGTGCTTATAGCTCAATGCCTACCACTATTGCATGGGATCTCTATAGTTCATGCATATTGTATCGTATAAATGCCTTCTCAAATGAAGAGGGGTTGAATTCTAATGCTTTTTGGCTCAAACTATAAAATTATTTAATTAGGCAAGATCCCTTAATTTTTTGTTATATAAATTTTCACAAAGTATTATATATTCTTCTTGTTTTGCAAGAAATTTATTTTTGTGTTGAATTTCTTCACAAATCAAAACCATCTTCATATTTTCAAGAATTTTTGGCACACAATAATATTAATTAAATAAAAAAATTATTTTTTTAAATTTCTAAATGAATCTATATAAATAATTTCTTCTTTGTTAAAGTTTAATAATTAATGCGCTTGAACTCATATCTTCACGACATGAGGCCCTTTACCCTGAGGCTGGACCGGGCCCAAGTGCCTTACACATTTGATCAAAAATCATGACAAATAAGAGCGATTATTGCGTGCGGAGAGCGCACGCAGAGCTGTGCGCGCTCTCCGATCACAGCCGCACATCGCGACTATACGACAGTGGCAACCTGCGTGCCCTCTCCACGCAATAATTAGATGACAAATAGGCACTTATCGACAACATGATAATTGAGTGTATAACAATTAAATCTCACATATTATCTTTGGGGAAAAAAAGAAAAAAAATTTTGACAAGTGACAACCTTTAGGGCAATTTTATACAGCTTTGCTTCGTAAAATTTTTCGACAATTCTATACAACGACGATTTATTTAAAAAACAATAATGATAAACAATTTTTTGCTACCAGATTATAGTAGTTATAAATAAAGCAATTATTCAATTTAAAAAAAAAAATAGTTAAGGCAGTCATAATAACTATATAAAAAAAAATCATTTCATCCCCAGCTCTACATTTTCTTCTACAATCAACTACAATTACCTCAAATAAAACCTCAAAAAACAGGAAGCATGACTCCTACAAACATGAAAACTTACCAAATTTAGTTTGAATTTTAAAGAATAAAAAATAAAAATTTAATATATATATATATATATATATATACATACATACATACATACATACATACATACAGTGTGTGGGCGCGCGCGCGTTTTAAAAGACTCCAAAATTACAAATTTTTTTAAAAGCCAACCTTCAAAATCTTATAAATTTCAGGAGAATAAAAAACCTGTTTAAACAAGATGAGGTTTACTAGTGATCTACTCCACCAAATACAATCTTGCTTTTAATTCCAAAACAGACTTGCATAATAACACTAATTACAAAGAAGGTTTATTATCAAAATCAACATAATGTTCAGCTTCACTCAGGATTCTGCTCTCCCCACATTCAAACCAGCTAATATAGGCAGAAAGAATATTGAACCTCACATTCTAGTAAACCTCAAAAGCTTCAAAAGAAGAAGCTCTTAATAACCTGCTGGCTTAAATGCTAAAAATTTCATAAAAAATACAGGTAATTCTCAAGTAGAAGAATTACCTGCCTCATGCAGCAACTGGGACAGCTTCATCAAGAGCAACAACTCCTGGAAGCTCCTTTCCTTCTAACAACTCCAGGCTCGCTCCGCCGCCGGTTGAGATATGGCTCATCTTATCAGCAACTCCTACTTTCTCAACAGCAGCGACAGAATCTCCACCTCCAATGATGGTTGTCACACCTTTGCCACTAAGCTCCGCGAGCTTATTGGCGATTGCCTGCGAGACAAGGACAAGAGGGAACACTATTACAAATCTCGAAATATATTGAGTTGTTGTATAGTTTGATTTTTGTCCTACAAAAAAAAAAATGTCGTGCAAATTTAGTAAGGGTTTGCTTGGGATTATATTTTTATTTTTGTTTTTATTTAGAAAACATATTTGTTTAGTACATTTTGCATATTTTTATTTTTTTACTTTAAAAAATAAATTAACTTGTTTTTTACAAAAAACTTAAATTTCTAAAATTTGTTTAGAGTATTTGTAAGAATAACTAAACATATAATAACAAGCCAAAATATTTTATTTTAAGTAAAGCAAGATCATTATAAGGGTTGGAACAGAGGAGAGGAGCCTCTCTTAGGGGTGAGGGGCCAAAAAGCATCCAATAGATATAGTTATTTCGGTTGCACTAAGCTTCTCTTTACAAACAATTGGTGTCTTAATTTATTATAGTAAGATTTATATAAATAAACTTCAATTTTTATGTATTGCCACCTTACCTATGCTGAAAATGTCACCTTACGTATGCGCGAAAATATGCATTTCACCATTTAAAAATTGAAATAGTGGTATTTTCAATGTAAGATGAAAGTTTTAAGTGGTATAAATTTAAAAAATAGAGTATAGGTAATAGATATGTAAGTACATAGAAATTGGGATATATGCATGTACATGCCCCTTCATTTTATCATAGAAATGAGGTTTATAGTTCTCCATAATCAATTGTTAAATCCAGCTCTGATCATATTCTTTACTTCCTGCAATTTTTTACACTCTGCGTTTGCATACATTCTATATATTTTCTAACATAATGCAAAGTTAAGATTGAATACGATAATTGCATACCTCAGTTCCAACAGCAAACTTATCAAATTCAAATACACCCATAGGACCATTCCAAATAACTGCCTTCGTGGTATCCAAAGCATCGCTGAATGTTTTAATTGAATCAGGGCCAATGTCCAACCCCATCCAACCATCAGGAATTGCAGATGATGGCACAACCTACACACAGAAATTAACTCATTTGTTGAAAGAAAAATTTACATGGCAGGTCTTATGTTTTACATAGGTAGCACACAATTCTTATGTATTTACATATCCCGCACCTAAATTTCCTACTTACATACATTGCACTTTGATGCTTTAAACCTATGCATGAAAAGGTAAATTTCACTTTCAAAAAGTGATAATGGTGCTATTGTTGATGTGATGTTAAATATTTAAGTGCTAAGACTAAAGATGAAAGTTTAGGTGAGGGATATTGACATATATATAAATTAGAAGATGGGAAAGAATACCAAACCTTGCTATTGGCATCAGCTGCGAACTTATCGGCAACCACCACATCAGTTGGGAGTAAAAGTGAGACTCCTTTTGATTTGGCCTTACTAAGAAGAGATGTTGCGAGATCCAGCTTGTCATCCTCTACCAGAGAAGAGCCTACGGAAAGTCCCTGTGCTTTGTAAAAGGTGAATATCATGCCTCCACCAAGAAGGAGGATGTCGACTTTCTCCAATAGCGATTCGATAACGCCGATTTTAGATGAGACTTTTGAACCACCGACAATAGCAGCAAAAGGCCTCTTGGGATTTGAAACAGCACCATCGAGGTAGTCAAGTTCCTAAAGAAAGAAAACATTTTTTTTGGAGAAGATATAAAACATCACACCATATTATGTACTAGAACATAATGCAACTAAAATGACACCTAAAGATAAAGAGAAAACATCATACATATTTAAATAACTTTTTGAATGATTTAAGATTTACAAACATTTGTGAAAAAAGGGGGTGGGGGGATACTATTGCATAAAGTTTGAAGAAAGAAAAACAATAAATATGGAGAAAAAGTTCACCTTTTGTAAGAGAAAACCCGCAACAGAAGGTTTCAAGAACTTAGTAACACCTTCAGTTGAGGCATGTGCTCTGTGTGCCGTTCCAAAAGCATCGTTCACAAAGAGATCAGCCAAAGATGCAAGCTTTTTTGCAAATTCGGGTTCATTTTTCTCTTCTTCCTTGTAAAAACGCACATTTTCGAGTAGTAATACACTGCCATCAGGAAGAGAAGCAACCAATTTTTCAACCTCGGGTCCGATGCAATCATCAGCCTTCTGAACCTGTTCAATAACAACAAAATGATCAAGATAAAGGGTATGATAAGTCAAGTTGAGCTCAAGCCACCTATAGCTTAAGTTTGAGCTCAAGCTCAACCTCAATTCTCCGGTTTGAGTTGGCTCACGAGCCAGCTTAATTATTATAAAAGATAGAAAATCATTTTAACTGAAGCATCCGTTAGTAAAATAATAAAAATAGTGAAAGGTTACATGAGAAATAATAAAAATTAATTTGGAAAAGAAAGAGAGATATACTTTTATATATGTTTAAGAACTTTGTAATTAAAAACTTGAATTCTAATATATTTTATGTATATAATATATTAGCATTTTTAAAAGAGCAGCTCAAGAATTCACTAGTTGAGTCAAAGAATAGCTTAAACAGGGCTCGTTAGTTAATAAGCTCAGCTCACAAGTCATTTATTGAACTAAGTCTAAGATAACTCTTGAGTCAAACTCAAGTGATTGCATCACTAACAAAAAAGTAAATATATGAATGGGAAAGATCATACCTTTATCCCGAGGAGTTCAGATAGCCTGGGAACAAGGGGGGCCAAACTGTATTTAGGTGTAACGCCCTTAGGCCTACCCTGAAGTTCACCAGTAAGTGAAAAACAAAATATTATAGTCAATGGCTTGATTCCTCTGAATTTTTACAGAAAGTACAAACATAAGAGATCGATCGGTAAAGTGTTCATCACAGCTATTCAATCAAAAGAAAACAATATGACATGACCTCAATTGTCTAAAATGATTAGACTAAAGTAAAAAATTTGTAAATAGAAAGTACAGCTTGTTGAAAAAATTATCTGCTTTTCCTAAGTTTCCAATCAAGCTGTGAAATACGAGTTAAAGTAAAATTAGTTATATGGAAAAAATTACATCATAAACCAAACAAACATTAAGGCTTATAGGAAGAATTATCCATGAAAGTAATGTAATCCCTAACAATCACTGAGTTGTCCTGATAGATATTAGGGAATATGATTTCAATTCTAGATTGATTCAATTTTGATCACTTTAGTTTTAAATAATTTCTAATAATTTCGTATGGTTTGAATTGATAATTTTCTTCGCGGTGAAGGACCATGAAAGCTGATTTTATTAAAGATAATTGTTCATGGAAAAAATAAAATAAAAACAAAAAGGGAACCTATATAAATTTTAGCAAGATGGCAACTGCCCATGAAATCCGCTATTTGGGAACAAAACATTAAAGGACAAAAGGACTGATGACTGAAGCTAATACCTGATTAAGTGAGGGTTGTAATTTCGTGATACCATTAATTTGATCCTAATAAGAATTAGTTGATTAGCATTTGCAAATATAACTTTATTTATTATGCTTAAATAGTTTCATTTGGTTTATTTCAGTTTGAAACTTTAAGCCTACACCAGATCAAGTAAGTCAGTTCAAATAAATATCAAACTTAACCAAATAAAACCAAGCAATTAATTTAGCTAGATTGGTAAGAATTTCAAGTTTAGCTTCTTTTTCTTTCTTTTTTAACACACCACTAGATATAGAAACATTGTCATTGCTGGGTCCCAAGTCCTAAATGTGAAAAGTGGAGGATTGTGTTAGATAGTCGACAACCAGTCTAAAATTTGTCAAAAAAGACATTGGACTAAAAGCCTTCGTTTGAGTAGAACCAAAACTGAATACATGGAATGTAGTTTTAGTAGTAATAGTTATAGTGCCAAAGTTATAACTATGGGTGATCAAATCATTAAAAAGTGCAAACGCTTTAGATATAGCAGGTGTATTGTTCAAAGTGACGGTGCTATAGATGGGGATGTTATTAGAAGAATTCAAGTTGGTTGGTTGAAGTAGAGGAATGTATTGGGACTGTGTGATAGAAAAGTACCGCTTAGACTGAAATAAGATGGTGGTGAGACCTGCAATGCTCTATGCCGCAGAATGTTGGCCTGCATAAAACAAAGTTAAGTGTTGCCAAGAAGAGAATGCTTATGTGGATGAGTGGCTTGACACTTAGAGACAAAATGTGAAATGAATATATCTGTGATAGAGTTAGTAGAGCTTCGATAGCGGAGAAAATTAGAGGGAGCTGTCTTAGATGGTTTGTCACATTAAATGTTGACCATCTCATAATCTAGTTAGGAGAGCAGATGTTTTGGATTCGATTTATGTTAAAAAAGGCAGAGGTAAACCTAGAAAGACTTGGGCATATTGTATAAAAAATAATCTTAATTTATTAGAATAAATGAAAATATGACACTTAGTAGAATGCAATGGAGAAAAAGGATTCAAGTAGCCAATCACCCCACTTAGTGAGATAACAGCTTGTTGTTGTCATTTGACCACTAGATATTAGGAAGAAATTATGGTGTTTCTCTTTCTCTGTCTAAGACTACTGTAAATCTTCATCCCTCCAAGGCTTTCCATCTCCATTTCCTTCGTAAGGGTTTTCAATCTCACACAATAGCTCTGGGCTATCTATTTCTCCTCTTCAGATGTTGGCCCAACTTTCCTCTCCCAAACATTTATTTTAGCATCTGTGACTTTTTTTAAAATTTTCTGTAGTTTGCCTTATAGGAAATATTACTTTTTTAAAAAAAATTTTAATTAAATTAGCTTGCATTATAAAGAAAATAAAATTTTGTTCTCATTTTACAATTGCTATTGGTTTTTCTAGATTAATTATTAAGTTTTAACTAATATTTATAAGATCATACTACATAACTTGATGCCTTTTTTTAAAATTCACAATAGTTGTTTTAATCACGTATATATTTATTTATTTATTTGGGGTGGGGGAGAATTTGAATGAATTTAATAGCACACACACGCAAGCTACATATGTAAGAACTTGAACCCATATCTATTGGTTGAAAGGCAAAGCTCTAAACCACTAGGTCAAGAGAGCTTGCTCAGATATTATATATTAATAATTTATTAAGAAAATATTATGTTCATCGCATGCCATATCCTACTTTGTATAATTAGATCATATGCCAGTATCAATGCCTTCTGTAGGTGTTCGTGTTCATGCTTCATGGATTGGAACCATCCAAAGAATGAACGAGCAGCATCCCATTTTTGAAGTTAAGAATATTAAGATGAAACAGTTTTTCCATTACATCCCTCTAGTTGCATACCTCCCTTTTTATGTTCAATTAAGCTACATGCAAGATAAAGTCTTGATGTTAAATGTTTAAGTTAAGCTCACTATCAAATATACAAAAAAAAAAAAAAAGTAAATAAAAAGGGGTGGAATTATGACATGATCAGAGCTACTATTTAACCTGCAAAATATATAATAATAATAATAATAATAATAATAATAATAATAATAATAATAATAATAATAATAATAATAATAATAATAATAATAATAATAATAATAATAAAACCATACCCCAGTTTCAAAGCATTCTAAAATATCACAGAAAACTTTTATGAGTGGATTTCGTGGGTTAATCCTCAAATTGCAACCTTGAAACAGGATATAAAAAAGGGACATTTACATACAAGCCACACAATTTTCATGCATTTACCTATCTAACACCTAAACATTCATATTTACGTGCCGACCAATTAATTTTTTAACATCATATAAAAAATACTATCACCACTACCTTTCAAAAAGTAAAATACACATTTTCATGCATGGGTTTACGATTAGAAATGTAAATATCAAACTTTGGGTGTAAGGTATGCAAATACATGAAAATTGTGTGGAATGCATGTAAATTTTCCTAGAAAAGAATGTCACAGAACAGCAAATATAGATCATTAATCTGAAATAATCAAATCTCGGCCACTGATCCTAACAAAGAAACTTCAATCACGTATAAACAAAGTACATAAATGCAGCAAACAACAAGGTTCCAAACATTATTCTCATATCAGGGCATACCAGCATAAGAATTCAATCAGAACAATACGCCATCAAGAAGAACAGGGAACATCAATGGGGAGAGATTCTCACCAAATGACTGGAAAGAATGACCTTAGCCCCATTGCTCAGTAAATGCTTGATGGTAGGCACCGCAGCCCGGATCCTCGTATCATCTGTGATGTTCTGGTTCTCATCTAAAGGAACGTTGAAATCAGCGCGGACGAGGACCCTCTTTCCC